ACTCTTTGAGGGCATAGATATGGTCTTATTCATCTTTATATCCCAGTGATACAAAGGTCACTGTATCTGTATCTGTATTGCACTGTATTGTTTTACAAATAAAGGTGAATGGAGAAGAGGAAGCATGCTTAAGATTTTCCAGCAACCAATTTTTCATGGTGATAAGCACTTGGAGTCATAGCACAGATGGCTGAAAGGGACTGGTGATGGAATTCATCTTATCAGAAATTCTCATCATTTTACATGCTTTCTCAAGTTTTTTTTTTTCAAGAATAAAAAGATTTTAAGTATAACAATATTACCAAAACTGTACTGACATAGTATATCACAAAATCAACTTTCTAACAGTATAATTTCCTTCAGGTTTCTTATTCATAAACACACTTCTAATGGTTTAGTATCTTTTCTGTGAAGAGAACTGGGAAAATAAATTAAGGGACCTTAGCACCTTTGAATCTCAGTTCTGTTCCTAATCAGATGTTAGGTTTCAGGCAGTTAATTTAACATCTGAATTTATACATTCTCATTTGCCCACAGCTAAATAGCTAGTAAGACGCTAAAGTTAAAAAAACCCCAAAAAACAAAAACACACACACACAGAGGTAAAGATACCACAGCTATATTTTTCTATATTGTACTATCAAAGTACAAGAGATGATAAATAGCAAGCTATTACTCTATGAGACCGGAGAGAACCTAGTTCTTCAAAAGGCTATTCTTTTCCTCCTTCACCTGTTTTTCTCTTCAAGTTCTTTATTAGCTTTCCTCTTGAATTTGGGCAGCAGTTGCTGAAGAAGGTCTTTCACTGCATCTCGCTCTTTGACTGCTGTGCTTTCATTGGAAAAATGGAAGTTAGTTGTGTCCCCTGCGTGCAGAACCAGCTGAAGCTGAATTTTAGCTTTTCCTTCTGGACTGATTTTCTGACCTAAAAGGAAATATGAGGTTAATTAGATGACATGCACATTGTGGAAACTGCCATACAACAGGTTACTTACTTTGCAGAAACGCACTCTTCTTAAATAAGAATTCAGAGCACGGTTCAACAAAGTCACTGCTAACAATCTGCTTCCTCCTTTAGTATTCTTTTTGTGCGGCACTTCTCAGCCATGGCTTCCACCCCCAGATATTAAAGAGCTTTTATTTCCATTCAACTGAGGCAGGTATCTTTAAAGCTTCCTAAACAGTCAAGTAGGAGTCCCAAATCCACCCTACACAGCTACCTCCAACTAACATTATCATTAATAAAAATGATTTGTCATGATTCAAAAACTCCAAAGCACAACCCATGGTTTACTTACTAGTTGCAAAGGAAGATATGAAATTTTACATTTGAGAGATTTAGTGTCACCACTTTAACCGAGTGATCAAAGCAGGACAACCTAACACAACAGGCTTTCTGAGGTGACAGAATAGGAAATAACCACCACCCTTACAAGTTAAGACAAATAGGCATAATCATAATGTGTGATATTCTACAACCCTATACTCAGAGAAGAGACTAAAGAACTCCAATTATAGCCTGGCCAGTGTGGTTGAGCGTGGACCTATGAACCAGGAGGTCATGGTTCAATTCCTGGTCAGGGAACATGCCTGGATTGTGGGCTCGATCCCCAGTGAGGAGTGTGCAGGAGACAGCCAATCAATGATTCATTCTCACTCATTATTGATGTTTCTATCTCTCACTCCCTCTTCCCTGAAATCAATAAATCAATAATATATATATATATAGATAGATAGATATAGATAATATAGGAAAATATATGTGTGTGTATGGATATAAGAACTATAATTATATACATGAATCTAGATTGAATATTGGTTTAAAAAATCACATTTCTAAAAACATTACTGGGACAATAGAGGAAATATAAAATGGCCTGAATATTAAAATTTTTGTGGTGTGATATTATAAGCAGCCAAAGTATACATAAACAATAAAGCAAATATGGCAAACTAGTAACTGTACTTTTTTTGTTAATCCTCATCCATGGAGGATATTTTTCCACTGATTTTTAGAGAGAGTGGAAGGGAGGGGGAGAGACAGAGAAAGATTGATGTGAAAGAGACACATCGATTGGTTGCCTCTCCCACACGGCTCCAGGATCAATCCTGCAGCTCCCTACGCTCAGTCTGCAGGCTCTATCCACTGAGCCAATCTGGCTAGGACAATAACTGTACTATTTAGGTGGGATATGTTATATAGTATATGTTGTACCATTCTTTAAAATTTTCTAAATGGGTGACTCACGGTAGTATGAACATGCTGCCTAGAATTCTCAGCCCTAATCAATTTTTTTCAATGAAGATGCTGCTTCCAGACCAACAGTTCAGATGAAATATCTTAATGTCAGCAGCAGCAATATGAAACAATTTACACTGTTAGCCAGCCTGTCCCAGTATCCAATTCCTCCAAAACAATCACCCCTACGCTTTTCTCAGTCACGGCTTTATCCTTGCTCTAGCTTAGCTCTTGCCTCTGAGAGGCCTAATTTTGAAGTTTGTTTGTTTTTTTTAACAAGATTAACTGCTAAATTTCCCCTTAGTAATCTATTATTGATAACTTTCAATAGTTTCAGAAATGGGCATTCTATCAATAATTCACCTTAAAATGAAAAAATGATCTGGTGCAGATCTAGGTTTTGATATGTGTTCTCCTCCTCAATAGCCTAGAATTGTGGAGACACAGGAGGTAGGCATATTCTTTATTGCACACTGGGGATATGAGTGTGTTTTACAAATCTATTAAGGGCTAGCCTGCTAATACAGGAAGTTCCTAATTTATGAGTCGATTGTAGTATAAATGATAGTTTGTAAGACTATTATCAGGAACTTGATGAGGCATTTTTCCACAGAAACAAAGTTGTGTTTTTTTGTTTTAATATATTGTATTGAGTTTTTACAGAGAGGAAAGGAGAGAGATAGTTAGAAACATCGATGAGAGAGAAACATCGACCAGCTGCCTCCCGCACACTCCCCACTGGGGATGTACCCGCAACCCAGGTACATGCCCTGACCGGAATCGAACCTGGGACCTTCCAGTCCGCAGGCCGACGCTCTATCCACTGAGCCAAACCGGTTTCGGCCAGAAACAAAGTTTTATAAGGAAGTGACATTACCAGGATAGTGGACAAAGACTGGATAGTTTAGGCACTACTGAATTATGATAGGTTTTAAATAGTATTTCCTTTTGAAATTAAGATTCTAAATTATTTCAATGGAGAAAGATGAAGATCTTGGCCATTTCCAGCAACAAATAGAGATCCTTGGACAACTGTTCATACATAAAGGACATTTGTAAACTGAGCACTTCTAAGTTGAAGGTTGTCTATTTTTCAAGGTGTCATGTTTCTTGAAATTTATGCAAAATTTTATCCAGGTGAAGAATTTTATATCCAGGAAAAAAAATAAATCCATATTAATAGTCACAGTTAAGATAACCACAATTTGTCAAGGACTTTGTTGCCCAGACTTCCTTGGAGTCACTCTTATACAAGATCTTTAACTAGGTGAACTGCAGAACTCCCTTTCAGAGGAAAGGTCCTAAATCTCAGGATTCGCTTTGTTTTTAAACCTAATTATTATTGAGCCATCGAGTACGGAACCTTTTGGGTAATATTTCAAAGTTATTCTTGCTGATTTGGAAAGAGAAAAAGAAAATAAAAATAATATGCTCTGTATTTCTCTCATCTATAGTCAGTATAAAATTGAATATCTTCTCAACAGACGATAACCACATAACTAAAAATTAATTAGACAACTTACTTAAATGATACAATTTTATTAAAGGGCAATCTGGTATCATCTATCAACATTTTAAGTGCATGAACCATTTGAACCAGTAAACCCAGTGCAGAGATGTATCCCATACATCATACATACAACCTCACAAAGGTGTTAGTACACAGATCTATACAACGTTATTTGCAAAAACAAAATTCTGGAAACTTCCTAAATGTCCTTCAACAGAGGACTGGTTAAATACATAATTGTATATCCATTTTGTGAAGGTATATATAGCCCAACTGGTGTAGCTTAGAGGTTGAGCAGTGACCTATGAACTAGGTGGTCACAGTTCAATTCCCAGTCAGGGCACATGCCCAGACTGTGGGCTTGATTCCATGTGGACATGCAAGAAACATCATTGATGTTTCTCTCTCTCTCCTCTCTCTCTCTCTCTCTCTCTCTCTCTCTCTCTCTCTCTCTCTCCCTTCCTCTCTGTAATCAATAAAAATATATTTAAAAAAAGATATACAGATATCTTTACATGTGGTAGATTTACATATGTAAAGTTTTACATATATACACATTTTACTAAGTGCAAAAGGCAGTTTATAGAATAATATATATTCAGTAATCCCACTTTGTAATTATTTTTATGTGGTTGATTTTTTTTTTGGACATTAAAATAAAAAGCCCACAAAGATTTTTATAAGCAATCTTCTAAAATTACTAAGAAATATGACTTACATTTAATATCTCCATACATATGGCTGATTGTAAATCTATCTTTGCCTTCAGGTGCCCAAGCAATTCTTTCTGCCATGAGGTATAGAGCTCCATCCTGCTTCTTCTGACGCACCTTCTTTACAATCAGCAAGACTTCTTCAGATGAAGTTGCCATGATGGCTAGAAGGTGCTAATGGAGACAAAAAGAGTTCACATCTCAGTTAGGGCCTGATTTATTGACTTCTAAAGTCCCTTCTAAATCTAAAACCTAAACTAATAATGAGGGGGAGAAATCTCTTCATTCAAAGTTGAAAATACAATTATATGGCATTATTCCTTAAAATAAAATTTTTTTTCATACCACAGGTATGAATTTACATAACAGTTTATAACATTTGGCAGTTTTCAAGCCATTCCCACATATGCCAATCAGAGTATTTTCAAGTTATATTTATTTTTCCCAGTTATATTCTTAAAATCTTAAAATGTATGATTTGGCTACAAATGTGGTCTTTTATGTAATCTATATTTAGAATTGTAGAATTTCAGAATTACACAGGAGTCTAATAAATATTTAGTTCAAATTGTTTCAACTGAAACAACTAAGGGCCACAGGCTTTCTGTGACTATTCCAGAACCACTCCCAGAGCTGAAACCACATGCACATTTCCTAATTCTTGGTCTAGGTTTTGTCCAGTATGCTTGAAAAATGTAAAACCAAGTCAAAAAATGTTTTCTCTTTTTTATTATTCAAAATGTTACAGATAATGGCACTGCATTTTGGACTATAATAGTCAAATCAAAGGTTGTCTTCCTGACTACAATCTTGTTTTCTTATTACTAAATGAAAAGTATTAAAATAGGAGCTGTGAAGAGAAAACAGAGAAATAGGGCTGTCAGATACAATATAAGATGCTTAGGTAAATTTGCTTTTCAAATAAACAAATTTTTAGCTAAACTATTTCCCAAATATCAAATTTATTAAATCATTATTTGTTGTCTAAAACTCGAACTTAACTGAATTTTGTGTATTTTTATTTGCTACATTTGGCATCACTTTATAGATTCTAAAAGGCTGGGGCAGCTCCTGTGTTGAGCGTCTGCCCCCTGGTGGTCAGTGAGCATCACAGCGACCGGTCATTCTGCCAGCCAGTCTGTTTGCACATTAGGCTTTTATTATATAGGATTAACATGCACTTTCATGAAGATGATGATTTACAATAATGTACAGTATCAACTTTTCTGCCCCCCAAAACCTCCAAATAAAAAAAACCATTTCATTAAGTTTCACAGTGCAAAAATTCTTGTCATTTGCTGTTTTCTACTTTTTCTTCTCTATTGGTTCTCCTGTTTCTATCTTATGTTATTTATTTGGTTAATCCTCACCCAAGGATACTTTTCCCATTGGTTACTTTTTTTAAAATGATAACAAGTGGATGTTTTCTTTTTTTTCTTTATTAAGGTATTACATATGTGTCCTCATCCCCTCATTGCCCCCCATCCCCCACTCATGCCCTCACCTCCCTGGTGTCTGTGTCCATTGCTTAGGCATATATGCATGCATACAAGTCCTTTGGTTGATTTCTCCCCCTTACCCCCACCCTTCTCTACCTTCCCTCTCCATTGATTTTTTTTTTTTTAAGAGAAAGTAGGAGGGAGTGGGGAGACAGAAACATCAATGTGGTTGCGTCCCACATGTGCCCTGACTGGGGCTGGGAATCGAGTCTGCAACTGAGGTACATGCCCTTAATCAGACTCAAACCTAAAATTCTTCGGTCTGCAGGCCGACACTCTAACCTAGTGGTTCACAACGTGGGGCACACGCCCCATGCGGGGGCAATTTGAGAATGAGTTATTAACAGTGAATTTTTTTGCACTTCTTATGGTTCTTGGGGCCTCATATACAGTATATACACACACACACATATATTTATGTATTTCAGTTCTCTATTATGTTTTAAAACATTGCTATTTTTCACATCATTTCATATTATTTTTTTTAACAATTTCTTAGTGATGTCTTCCTTAGTACTTCAACTGTCCTTTTGTTCTCTTATTTTTCTCTTTCATGGGTGCCATGTTCTTTGGAAGCTTGTTTAAACCAAGTTAATAGCCTTTAGGCTTCCTCCACATGAATAAGAGTTCAATTTTTGAATAAGAATTATATGTCACAGGGATATCAGAATTTTAGAAATGCTTAGGTGGGGCATGGCCAAAAAAGGTTGGGAACCATTGCTCAACCACTGAGTGAACTGGCTAGGGCTATTTTATGCTTTTTAGAAGTATGTTCATCTTTTTAATCTGACTCCTCTATCTCGTTCCCTTCTAGCTTTCTTATTGTTTCCTGGGATGTCATCACCACTGATCTCATATATGTTAGACCATTTTATTGCCATATGCAGCTCTGGGTCGAGTGGTTTTGTCTAGTAGTGTAAGTCTCCAAAGATGGTGCAGTTTGACTTCCACATTTTGAATTCCTTTGGAGGCTTCTCAGGTGTCTTGACACTGCCTCTCCCAGTCTGCTGATCAGACTGCAGAGAAAGGCTGGGCCAGTCATGCTCCAGAATAGCTTATGGGTCCCGGCAGTCACTGTTCTGTCTTGTTCCCACAACCACCCACTGCCTCTGCAGGATCCAGGGCCCTGGGACTGGTCTCCTCCAGCTGGTTGTTTTCCTCCTTGTTAGAGAAGCTTGAGGTGCTGCTTCTGTAAGCCTCAAAAGAGCTCAGAGGGTCCTTCTCCTCAGCCACCATGACAGCAATATGCCATGACCCAAAAGTGAAAATTTAATACTTAATATTTCAGATGCCACTTTCTCCATCTTTTAACAATCAAATGTCTTCAAATGCTCTCCATATCTTTGAGAGTCATTTGTATATATGGCTAATTTGTTACCTAGGAAACAGCCTGGTGCCCTCCCACCTTTCTCCTAAATCCTGGGAATCTTAAATACCCAACACAAATGCTAGAGGCTTGAGTGTGAATGTCTGGAATATGAGGCCAAAAAGGACTCTGAGGAAAGATCCCATGATTGATAGTGATGAAAAATGCCACATATATGCCATTTCTGAAGTAATGAATAGTTTTCATTCCCAAAGAAATAATTTAAAATATAATTTTAAAACATTTACTTTTTCCAGCTCTGGAGGGGAAGTTTCTAATTTTAGAGAAGCGAACACATCTAGGTGTCATAATTTGCCCCGAGCAAACAAGAAGCTTTACTGAATTCTTACTATGTCCAGGTATTGGGACTAAATTATTTATAGGTGTTATCTCATTCAGTTCCCAGTTAACAATCCTGAGACAGGTGCTATTATTAGTTCCATTCTGTGGACAAAGGAAACTGGGTCTGAGAAATCAAGGTATTTTCCCAATACATCAAGGAATAGGAGAACTGGGTTTCAATCTGGGTCAGACTGACCTTGGAGTTCCACTATGCTATTTTGTGAACATTTAGAATTAGAGGAATGGATATACACCCAACGTAATAGTGGTTACCTACAGTGACAGGATTACAGACGATCTGAAGATACCTTTTGTTTTCTGGATTTCTATAATATATTATTTTGTAATGAGAAAAGTAGTTTTTAAAAATGTCTTTGCAGAAAAAAATGTCTTTGCAAGAGTGTATCCCTATCAAACCATATGTTTGTTAAGGAAACATGGAAAAGTGTTAGGTGTCTTAGTATGGGTAAGAAAACAATTTTCAATTTTTGTAATATATGTATATCAATTATTTTATTTAGCTTTAAAAATTTAATCCATAAAGGAAAATTTATAACATCTATGGAACCATTAAATACTCTAATATTCATTTTCTAATATTCATTTTAATAAACACGTAAGTCTCAATATTTTAATAAGCCTGTCTGTATTATGTAAAATCATACTAATTGAATTTTAGGAAACATGAATTAAAATCTGAGAAAGATGGGGAGGATAAGCAGATAACCGTAAGATAATTTTAAGTATGTTCATATATGGAGGAAAAGCAGTGAGCAAGGACAATTGATAGAGCAAGTCCCCAGTTAACTGGGCTACAGGCACACGTAAGTATTAGCTTTGGGGTAAAAAAACTTTTCTGAGATGGAAGGTATGGAAGAAAAGATGAGTTAAGAGAGAAACTGAAGTGGAGAAAAAATTAGAGAATAGAATTGACTTTATTAGCTACTTTAAATCAATTGGGAAAAACATAGCCTCTTATGTACAGTGTGGGACAAAAGTAATTTTGCAGTTGTTCGTATGTAAATTAATTAATACAATAATTAATAATAATATAATAAACTTTTCATATGCACAATTGTAAACAAACTGTTGCCCCATCCTGTATATAGCATGTAAAACCATTTATATGAAGCCTTAGCTAGTTTGTCTCAGTGGGTAAAGCGTCAACCTACGGACTAAAGGGTCCCAGGTTTGATTCCGGTCAAGAGTACATGCCCAGCTTGTGGGCTCCATCCCCAGTGGGAAGCATGCAGGAGACAGCCAATCAATGATTCTCTCTCATCACTGATGTTTCTATTTCTCTCTCCCTCTTCCTTCCTCTCCAAAATAATAAAAATAAAAAAATATATATTTAAAAAAATCATTTATATGAAAATCCACTAAGGGGGAACTTTAAAAATAAATTTGCTTATCAAATTTCCCTGCTATCTGTAGTAACTTTAATTGTGCTAGGACCAATTTTAGGAAGTTTAATAGAACCAGTAGGGGTATCAGTAACTTCTGATTTCTAGACTTTTCTCGAAGATAGTTCCTTGAGTAGCAAAACCTTCCCAGTAGAGTTCTATAAGAGTCAAATAGCAAGATCCTTCGGTAAAGTCATTAATTCATTTTCAGTGAAATATTTACTTGCCTGAAGCTAAACGTATGTGCCTTGCTCTGAGCCTTTGTACAGTCTCCTTCCTTCCCATTAACTAACTTTTACTCATTTAGCTTCAAAGTTATTAGGCAAGGTCTTCTATTCTTCTCTTTATAGCACTTATCACAACTATTATTAATTTTTAAAGTAATTATTTTAATGTCGATCTCCCCTTGACACACTGCAAGCTTCATAAAGAAGGGCAGAGACTACTGTATTGTGTTCAGTGCAATACAAGCACCCAACAGCCTATTTTGGCCTATAAGAAGAGTTTAATAAATATCTACGATACCTTCTTAAGATCTTTGTTAACAGAAGGATACAATCTTGGTAAGACACAAGAAACCTTTGCACATACATCTGCGGCTAATTCCAGGAAGCACTATTACTTTCTTCTCACAAATCAGAGGACCATTCTTCATAGATTCCAATAACTGGCTTATAAGAAAACAGGGATAGGAAGAAATTGAAAATATTCAGCAGAAATCTTTAAATTACTGCATCTCTATATTTTCATTACCTACACCCCCTTTTCCAATGGCAGAGGTAAATGGGGCAAAAAAAAAAGAAAAAGAAAAAGAAAAGTAACAAGTGAAATATAAACTCCTTATCACCCTGTAAAAGAGCTGCTGTACCTGCCAGCATACAAAATGGAGATTTGGAATACTGTTTGTCATTAGGCAATCCAAACTTTTTTAAACAACTCAGTATTACAGGGAATAAAACCTTGAAAGTATGCAAAGAGTAACCCAAATGTATTGTTTTAAGGATAGTTACACACAAAGCAGATATTAAGAGGGAATAACTAATGTAGCAATTTTAAGACCGAGCACTTTATCTTACAACAGTACAAGGAGAGGAAGGAGGAGGAAAATGCTA